GGCGGCGGGAGCCGGGGCCCGGCTGCAGCGGGGAGCGCTGCGAGCGGGAGGGAGAGGGAGGACATCAGCCTGAAAGCCCCGCGGCTGTAATTTAGGAGCAACAGCGTTTCTTTTGTCTTGTTGCCATATTTTAATCAACCCCCCAACAAAAGAGGTGAAGTTATTTGATAGAGGCACAGAGAGAAACTATCAAATAATTTTGTATGGGAGATAAAGCTTGAAGGAACATAATTAGAAATACAACATTGGCCATCTACTGAGGAGTTTTTTTTAGGAACGCCACCACATTGCGTGTCAGAAACATATATCGGAAAATAATGCATATGCCGCGTCACATAAAGCTGGTAGTGACCCGGGTGTGTGCAACAGTCACTGCTACTCCTAAGGAAGGGCTGCAAGGGGCCTGTGCAGCGGATCCACGTGGCTGCATGCGCACGTGTGCACACTGCTGCATGAAGCAGTGCCGCAGAGCCTCCTGCTCCACGCACTGACACTTCGGGGCAGAAAAGTGGGGCTTACTTTATTTTGTTCAACAGCAGGTTCAGAAAACTACACATTTTGGCTCACAACCATGAAAACCCTCCATTATCTTTTGCTTATGTTGCAGTCTAACGCCTTAGGTTTAATTTTGGATGTATCATGGAGAGTTTTTTTCCTTTTCTTTTGGCTACTGAAAGGGAGTTTGGTAGTAATTAATTGCAGCAGTAACAGATCTGTGCTGTGGGTACAGCTTGTTGCCACCCAGGCCCTGCACCCAGCCAGTTTCCAAACTCAAAGTTCAGGTGCACACTATAACAAAACCAGACAGTCCCTACCACATATAGCGATGGGCACAGAAAGCAATGGGGGGAATAACAGACAACAACTGGCATCACAAAATTTCTGTATGCGAGCAAATACCAGCTTCTTCACTGTTAGTTTTTACAATACAGTTAATTGATATACCACTCCTGAAAAAAGCATCAAGACAATAAACACTGCCTAGGACTTGTATGATTACAGAATAAGTACTATAATCTACTGGGCTAAGAATCTACTGAGGACTGAGACACCCATGTTGAAATTCAGTATATAACATGGATGAATGCTGCATGATACATGGAATGTCCTCACAAATTTGGGGAACTATAATCACCAATACATCTAAGCAGCCAGATGCAACTTTTTACTCTTTTACTGCCAAAATTATTTAGAATAGTCTCTTTTCAGGTTTTTCCCTTCATTTCTTAAGGAATAAGACACACACGTTCCTTACACTGTCATAAATTGAAGAATAGGAAGACTTCTTGAATCCCCCTCTCCAACTTACACTGTCATAAAACTATCATCCTATCACTGATATTTAGGAAATAGTTATTTATCACACACACAAAGTTGTTGGATCCTGTAAGAATATCCACGATTATTTTTACTTCCTTTCTTTCTCTTTTTTTTTTTCCTGTCTTCTCTCTCCTTCCATTTTTGTTGTCCTATTTCTCCTACAGATCTTCTGTCCCCTACCTTTTCTTCTCTTGGTTCTTCCTACCATGCCCCTTCTTGTTCCTGCTTTCAGTATCCTTTTCCCTCACCTCTCTGCCTCCTCTTGGTTCCATTCTCCCTGCTTTTGGTGTCCACAAAGCAGCAAAGTGCTCATCATATGTAAAGGCTAATAGGGGAAAGGAGAGAAAAATTAATTTAATCTATGAAGTGAAATCATATTTATTATCATGTATGTGTACAATAATTAGGAAATAAATCTTATTTCTATAGCCACAGAATAGACACTATTTGTTTTATATAATCTGCATTATTTACCAAACTATAGGAACCAACTTTTCAGTCATGTTAAAATTTTCCTCTTAAACCATGGAATCTAAGCATGGTAAATTTTCAAATCTTTTTTTTTTTTCTTACATTTTCTGTATTTTCTTCTGTATTTTTCTTCTGTATTTTTTTACTATATTTTATTCCAGGCTAGGTTGTATATTTCAATACTAGTGGTTAAAAATGAATGCCATTTTTATTAGTTATAACATAAAATACAGACCCTTCTGGTGCTGCAAAGCACCAAGTTCTTTAGTTGAATCTGGAATACTTACAAACTCAATTTTAAGATACAAAATATTTTTAAAGACAGCAATAATAATATGGTGCTAGTTTAGAAGAACCACCAGTTTAAAAGGCATTTTTTTTTTTTTTACAAAGTAAGCAATACAATGGAAGAACTAAATTCCTCCACACCACCACTATGATACATCTGTATATTAGATCAATAACCATGAAACAGGATTTAGCTAGCATTTTAACATTTATGGAGATCAAGCTTTTAAAGAATGTCCAGATTTTGCAAAAGCCATTTTTCTATTTTTTTTTCTTATTAAGCCTGTGCCTACACAGAATTACACCAAAATGAATAGCACCTGTAGCCATGATTTAACATAAAATTGTGTTACATTCTCCAATTCTAAGTTTCTATATACTTTTATTAGAGACACACCAGCTTGTGAAGTTGAAAGATACCAAAAAAGTACAGTATGCATAGGCTTATAATACAGGGGAAGTACTTGTCTAAACTGTGCAAAAATTTCTAATCACAACTATGTATTTCACTTTCTGTATTTAACATGCAAATAAAATTTTAAAAAGGCGCAATAAGAGTGAAAAATTAAATTTAATGATATAAAATGCTCAGTGAATGTATTATAAAAATGATATTTTAACATAAATAAATATATATATATGCACTCAATCTTAAGACTGTATAAAAAGGCTTAAAGAAAGAATGTATGGTAAAACTTGTTTACTGGTTTCTCCTCTCAGTACACTCTAACAGTCCTCAATCTAGAGGAAACGGCCACAAACTGAAGCATCAAAAGTTCCACAGGAACTTGAGGAAAAATTTCTTAACAGTGAGGGTGATGGAGCACTGGAACAGGCTGCCCAGAGAGGTTGTGGAGTCTCCTTCTCTGGAGATCTTCAAACCCGCTTGGACGCAGTCCTGTGCCACGTGCTCTAGGTGACCCTGCGTGTGCAGGGGGTTGGACTAGATGACCTCTAGACCAACCTTAAGCATTCTATGAGTCCATGATTCTATGAATCAGCAGCTTGGGAACCTCTTATACCAGGAAGAGACTGGATTTACTTTACATAAGAGTTTTCTTTTTATCAGATACTTATCAAACATATATATCAGATGATGCCTACCAGATATAGCTATCTGTTCTTTGCCAAATAAAAGTGAATGTTAGTCTCAATTTTGAAAGCTACTCAAAAAAATCTTTTTTTTTCTCTGAATGAAACTTGAGAAATATGGTTTCCACTGCTACCAGACTAAATTTAATTGCCATGCCATCATAATTAGCAACAATATACTACTGCTAGCTGCCTGTGAGACTTGGTGGGCAATGGAATGCATTGTTGGTAAAATTATAGAGATAAGGACATCTGAGCTCAAATTCAATGTGGCTATATAGTAAAACTTTTTTTTGCATTTTTTTTTAAACTCAAGAAACTAGCATATAGCATACAATCAAAAAAATACTTTTCTTTTTGCACACATGAAATACATCTGCACCACAAGCTTGGCATAACTACACCAGAAATGAAGGAAGGCAAGCCAAGGTCTTGAAATTTCTTCCTGTCCAGGAAGATTGTAAGAGTATTGAAATTCTGTAAGTGGCTTGTTTTAAGAAGGAGAAATATGCCATAAATTCAGCAACAATACATCTCAAAACATCTCATCTAGGCTGTAGTGTTATATAGTGTTCAGATCAACTGAACTCTGGATGCTCACATTTGAGAATTTGAATGTCACTTGATAAAAGACTGCTACATTGTAGGCAATTTTCTATCATGTCTTTTTCAGGACAGAGGCAACTGCAAAAAAAAAAAAAAAAGTCCAATTTAGAAACATGCAGCACTTAGGTGCTGTGGAGAGTACTGAGTACTCAGTATCCTGTAGGATACTGAGGATACAGATGAATCAAAAGCTCTAATGCAGCAGGCAAATGGGATCTGAATCATTTAAAAGATAATTTTTCTCCTTGTTTCTCTTTTGCTGCAGTCTGTGGAGGCATGCAGACCAGAACTACTTTATTATAGGGGAATGGGGTTGTTGGGAAGGCACAGTAGGTGCCGAGCATGTATTAGTGGTTTGCATGGTAGTCTTTGCTTTAAACATCGAAAGAGTACTCATCAGTGCACAGCTAATAGGTATCCTTAAAAAAAAGAGGGGAGAAGGGTGGCAACAAAAAACAGAACCTTGAAAAATGCAATAGCTTGGATTTCCAATAGCAATGGTTTAGAGTTCTTCCATACTATTCAGCTGTTGCATTTGGTCACAAGATCTGTTGCAGTTTAATACTGCATTCTTAGCTGCCATTCTTATCCATGTTTTCTGAGACTTGTCTATCAAAATACTGAATTTAGTGCCTTACACCCCTCAAAACACTTCTAAACCCCCATGTTCAGAATTGACATGTACTTGCAGGTACAAAGGCAGTAACACTGCTTGAAGTATGAATGAAGGTGTGTGGATATAGTTTTTAAGGTATTTCAGACAGTACTTTCCAACAACGGTTAAGCAGAAGAAAGAAAAAGTTTCTTCCTCAATGTGTGTTGGAGCAGAAGTGAGTATTGCTGGCTTGGGTCAATGGTCTTGTTCCACTCATAGACTTCTCTGTTCAGTTCTGTATGGATGTCTAAAATAGAGAGTTTCCTGCAGCAAGAGAAAACACAACTTTTCTTTAAAGAATGAAACAGAACATTTGTTAAGAACCCACGAGTTCAAAGATACTTTCAAACTCAACAATAAGAAAGTTGAGTTTTAGTCTTTCCCACAGATGCTACATTTTTAAAACCCAAGGTTGAATATGCATTTTTGAGAGTATGTTATATCCCAAATCACTATGATACTTGTTATGCTCTCCATTCCTGATTAAGATTGTGGAAAGGTACTAACTGCTGACCTGCAGCTATGTTGGAACGCAGCAGCTAGCTGACTGGTAGACCAAATGGACAATGAAAACCTTTGCTGGTAAAGTTACATATGCAAATACATCTGATTTTTACTCAAATCTCTTTTGACAATATCTTTGGATAATCACTTTTTATAGTTTCAGCTCAAGACTCAAACTATCAATCTTGTGGATCCTGAAGGGAGGGTGAATTATATCTCAAGAAAATAATAAAAAAAAAATCCTTCTGTTTCAGCAGTCATTCTCCCACAGATTCAGGCTTTTTGTATTTGCAGGATGATCCCTTCTTAATTGCTTAAGAGCCAGCCCTCAATTTGACAACTGCCCTATATGCACCTTGTTATTTTGGAGAAGAAGGATTTTGAGTGCTTGCCTGAAGCACTGAAATCTAAAGAACTGACATACATTGTCCAGGTCAGGTCCTTCTTTTCACATTCTGCATGTCACAGTCTCATATCACGCTTTCTTTTTACCATCCAGAATGAGAAGATTCACTCCTACTCTACAGTACCTTCCTGTGTCATCATTCCTGAATGAGGTACATTTGTCTTTTATCCAATGACACAGCCATAAGGACACTTCAGGACCAGAAGGGATAAAAGTTAATAAGTTAACACAGCTCCTCCTCTATAGTATGTTCTAGAAAAAGGGTTATTTTATAATTTACCTTTTATGTGGATTGCGGAGTAGCCCAGCCAGACAATGTAGGTAATATGAGGATGAACCTGGAGACCTTTCTAGTGTAGACACATCCACCTTACACTGACTCCAAAAGATGTCTGCTACTTGGGGTATAGTAACTTTCCATGGTATTTTTGCATTAGAAATGATGTTATCATCATTCCCATCTATTTCCAACAGACTAGTACATCCTTGCTCATTTTCTGGCACAACGTAACTCTGAATGAAGAAGAGCTTCGGTTTTCCTAGGAGTTCAGGACAGGAATCTGCTGTGAAGTATTTCTTTACTCGTTCCAATGGGAATCCAGGAAAGGTCTGGTCTGTACAGAACACACTCTGAGGGCTACCCCGGCTGACCAATATGCAGATGAAACTGTCACAATTTCTGTGCTTTTGCAATCTTGCAAATTCACGCAACTTTTGATTCATGGTATCCATATTTAAATATCTGAAACAATGAACATCATAGCCTAAGTCTCTGAAGGTCTCTTCCAACACATCTGGAAGAAAAGAAAGATATAATTAAATAATGACTCAATCTCAACGCTCCTGAAGGAAAACAGTATTTACAGTAGATCACTACTGGAAATAAGACATTCATTTCATCACAACACCTGAAAACCCAAGACTCTTCACATTAATCTCACAGTACATACTTATGGTACTATATGCATTTTATCTTTCATAAGAGTTATATACTTCATGGCAACATGACACACTAATATGTCACACAATCTAATTCCACCAATTTTTGCACATTTTTGTTTAGTAACAGTATCCTAGGAAACTAATTTTAGGACTTAAAATATCAGGCAAGAGAAGACACTAGAAAATTCTTCACAGAGAACAGGTTTGTAAAGGAGAGAAATGGGCAGTGTAGGAGTCACAATTAATCTGAATGCTTACTATCACAGAATGAATAGAAAAACAAAACAAAACAAAATAGAGGCTTTCAGTCAAAAAGGAACCTGCAGCAGTCATTCACATTTGCTTTTGAATAAAACGGACTTTAAGAGTTCTAAATGAAGAATGCACCCTAAACTGTGGCAAGCCTAGTGACAGAATGAATTTTTTAGCAATGAAAAGCTGAACACTGTTGATGATCCATTTCAAATATGTTAGAAAATAAAATTGTAGATAGCCGAAATCAAAATTTAACATAGTTGCATTTGTATTAACATGCACTGCAGGGAAACACTATATATATATATATCTCAATAATTACTTTGAATGTTCATTAATCTGGGATTGAAACAAAATTCATGATGGTTGAAACAACACACATTTAAGTGTTCTGTGAACCACAAGCTACCACTCTGACTTAGAGCTTCAGCATCACACATCTTTATGATAAACTCTGTGTGTGTGTGTATATATATATACTATATATATAGTCCAAACAATGACAGGAGAAAATAAGTGCTGTATAGACATAAGAAGAAGACTTTTTCCTTGACTCCAGAATTTTAGCCTAATTAGCAGAGGCGAAGGACTGTGCTACTACAGAGGTAACTGGTAGCAAAATAACAGCTCTGCTACCATGGTGTTCTCTTTGAGAGACACAGACAGTGAAAACGGAGAACAGAGCTCAAACTTGCTCAGCAAAAACAAAAGACAGGAATTCTACAAAATCTATCACTACAGTTAGGTAATGAACAACAATTGCAGAATTTTCTTCCTGTTTTGTTAAGTCTGATAAAATTCTTCAGAAGACTTTCCTGACTTTTTTTTTTTTTGTACTTATACAGGAAAATCTGCTCTATCTACAAAAATAAAATATGCCTTCGAAATTAACGTGGAAGACAGGATCTGGTACTGACATATTTTTGCCCAAAAGCGATTTAGTATTAGTACCATTTAGTAAATACCTACTGGCTGAGGTACTTCATCCATTAGAGGGCAGCCGTGCATTCAGAAAGCAAGAGTTACAGAAACTAGTGCTTTTTCTGTAACTTACATCACTGGTGCATATATTATGTACCAGGAAGATACAAACTCCTGCATCATCTTAAAACCATCATTATAAAATAGCAAGCAGTATTTCAGTTTGAACTTTTTCAGCATCTAATGAATTTGCATTGTTTGTAGTGGGCATCATTGTCAAAGGTTGAAGTCCCTAATCCTACATCATCCTACAATGCTGGTTCTGCTTCCTCCAGTTAAATCTTGGGACAACTACAGACTCAGTGCATATTACCAATTACCCATCTGCATATTGCAGACATGATTCCTAATGTATTCGCCCTGCTCTCTTCTTTATCTTTTATATTTTCAGACCTCAAAAGTAGCATGGAATAACTCTAAAATAGTCAATGACTTTCTAAAGACTCCTTTAAAGAATATGATATGCTTCTTCAGTCTCACCAGAAGAGGAACGAATTTCAGTGAAAGTCTGGCTTTCTATCAGAAGATTAAAATGTTGACAATGCCCTGGTGACATTAAAAACCAGAGACATATGCTGTAATTGGCTCTTCACGCAATGCAGACATGCACAGAGAATGAGAAACAATAAGACCTGCTTTGAGTTCAAGTGAGCACACCAGTAGCTAGGCCACGATTTTTAGGTGCATCTGATATGCCAGATGCTGATTTTTTAAACCCATTTTTGCCCTTTCCAGTCAACAGAATCTTCCTCCATTACACTTGTTCTTCCTGTTCTTTTGCAAATACTGAATCACCACATGAGCACATAAAGAGCACATCTACTGATTTTTAAATAATGTATTCATGTTCAAGTTTAGTAGCAATTACTATTACAAAGCAGTGTACACACTGCATTGCTTGTGCAAAGAAGCCTGTGCCTTCTAAGGAAGCGCAGATCTAAATTTATGCAGCTGTGACTGACCTGACTTGGCAATTTCTTCTTCCTGTCTACGCAAGCCTATGCACTCTGCTTACTTTTCATACTTACTGCTTCATTTAAGCACTCAGGCTTGGCTCAACTAAACATTGCTGCTCAGTAAGGCTGATGAGCACATGCTCACATCCCATTAAAGACCAAGTCATTTTCAAACCTTGGGTTCTCTTCTACTTTCCACAACTGCATTTTCTCTAGCAATGCCTTTTTTTTTTTTTCCCTCCTCAGTAGCAGACCACAACTTGTAGCAAGTGTGATGGGACCTGATCTTTCACATGCAGCCCTATTCAGGTGTTAAACCCTGTCATCCCCAACACCACTCATTCTGTGACAGCAAGTATTGTGGTACTGGACCAGACCCTATCATGCTGCCTTCCAGATAAAGGCTATATAGTTAGTTTCTTACATCAAAAAACAGTTGTGCTCTAACTCTTTCACGAAAGAGAAAAGAGCTGGGAGGTAAAACAGAAGGCAACACATCAGAGGAGAGGTTCAGTCTCAGGAGGAAAAGAAAAATCAGGCATAATTTTATTAAGAGTAGAAGTAGAGTCATGTTTTAACATGAATAATTTACTTTGTATATTTTTTCCCCTGTATTTTTGTTTTATTTTTGCCAGAGAGAATTCATGAGCCTGATAGGAGAGAGGAAAAGAAATCCCAGAGAATGCTGCCCAGTTACACGTAGCTGAGCTCAGTGCTTTCTTCTGTTCTACTTCCCTACTCACAGCAGGACTGTGAATCTTTCTGGTTGCTGGTACCCTACTAGAAAATTAAGTATCTTGTTTTATATATTGTTCTAAAATACACTGTTGTAAAATATATTGTTAAACAAATGGCAAAAGCTTCCTTGCTGTGTATGTGGTCTGCATCTACTCTCCTATGGTACTAAGAACTGTAGGTTGGTCTGTGTGGGCCATTAGTTGCAAGAAACATAAAAGACATGCCCACAAAACCCTCTTCCCTCACGTCACCCAGTGTATTACGGAACTGACTGCAAGTATTCTCATTCTCTCCATATTTATTTTTAGCCCCAAGTGCTCCACTGACTAAAGAGGTTTCAGCTTAGGCAAGAGCTTTCAATTCTAAAACTGCAAACAGAAAAATTTAAACCTTAACCAAAACACCTTTAATTCTTTGTGCAATTTTCAACTTAATCAAGAGAAAGAAACTAATCTTTTCCTTACCCTCTAAAACTGTGATGATAGTTTCGATTAAACTGGCCTAGTTGCATTATGATTATGTATCATCAGCTACGCAAAATCTGTGGTAACCAATATGGTTATACTTCAAGTGCAACTACATTTATTTTTAAATGGTGTGAAACATCTTGTTTACCATACCTTGCAATAACCTGCTGTATGAATATAGCTGAACTACTTCACTGGTCTGTCTGAAAACCATTTATTTCCCCTTCTCTAAATATCAATTCCCCACCAAAATTATTTTGGTCAGAGTCTCTGAACCTCAAAAGCAAACTCTTTTTTTTTTTTTTTTGGCAGTAGTTAGGAGCTTCAGATTGGGCCTTTCAATTCTCTACTTTAGAAGACTTACTATAAATAACAGACTGGCTGATTAAAACGACATGACTGCAGTCTGACTGGTAGATTTACATCATATTCTTTTTATGAAGTCATTTTAACTATCTGAGATTAACAATAAAAAGAACTTCAATTTCCAGATACCTACCAGAGTCATTGCCAATACAGTCTATGATCAGGCATATTCCTAAAGGCTGACTTTGCATTCTGTATTGATCATCGAACACCTAAAGAAAGTGAAAGGGCAAATATAAAGTTGGTGACGCTCCTTCAACTCACAGACTTGCTTCTTGCATAAATCTTTATTTTTGCACACAAAGAAGCCTTGCCATTTCTAACAGATGAAAGAGGTCTGACTTCTAATGAGTTTTGACTTAGCTTCTACTCATGAATATAAGTGTTCTGCATTCATATCATTTATGCATGCTTTTTGCACACTGTTGATTGCATATTAGCAGCTAGTATTTCATAGTAAAGTTATTTTCTAAGAGAATTCACAGAACCTGCTCATGGCACAGGAAAACAGAGATGTACGCATTCTGTTTGCATGCAACTAAAGGAAACCTAAAACTCAATGAAAACTAATGGAAATATATAGGGAGATTTATAAATATACATAAGCACATGCACATACCTTGTGTGACATTGGTTCTGATTCCTGAATTGATATATGGACTGGTTCTGCTGTGGTTAAAACATATGTATTTAATCTCAACATGCAGGCATCAATCACACCTCTTTGAGACCAAATCATTTAGAAAGATGTTACTTGGAACACAGTCTACATTAGTTGTGAAAACCACCACCTCTCCCTTATGCTGAGAAAATTCAGCTAATTACTTTCTAAAAATCACCGTATTTGAGAACTATAATTTGTTTCCAGAAAGAACACAATACTCAGGATAACTCGACAACATGCTGTTTGGCCTGGTGGAGATGTCCATAAACAAACTGACACAAAAACTTCCTAGTACAGACAGTCGTATGGCAGGCAAAATAGACACACATTTTGTCTGTGTTCTGCTGGGGAGAACACAGCTGCACTGTACTGGTCACCAGGGCTGACTAGTCTGTGTCTTCAATAACTCTTCTCACAAATAAACTATATAGCTATTTAATAGATTATGAAAGTGGAAGTCCTAGCTATTTCAATTATTTTTTAAGATATGACACCCCCCCACAAAACAAATAGAAGAGAAACTACAAGACAGGGATTAGATATTCCAAATACTTAGAAACTCCTGTTAAAACCTGTAAACACAGCTATTAACTAACTCAACACACTGGAATACACTATTTGGTTCTTTTTGATAATCACAACTCAGAGCGTTGCTCTTACCCTGAATAAGGCCTGGCCTGTTTTGTGTTCTCTCCTGGTTCACATCTTGGATCTAAAATAAAGAAAAAAAACTTTTGGAAACTAGTATATGTTGCAATATACAACAAAATAGTATTTTTATTCATTAATAAAAAGATTACATATTGTTTCATACATATTACTAAGGACAAATTTGCATGAATTCAAGAGGAAGTTATAACAATATTAGAACCCTATGGAAAGCCAATATAAACTTTCCCATTACCAGTTTGAAAAACAAAGCTGTTATGGCTGTGCTAGTGGAGACAAATTGAGCAATGGGGCTTGTATGCAAGCTTTGCACTTGTGTATCTACCGAAAACATGCAGAAAACATTTCTCTGCAAGGCTAAAGAAAGGTCACATTATCACAACATCAGACCTAGCCCAAACACAGGAAGTTTTGCATGCAGTAAAATTTGATTCAAAATAATATGGTGGATGACTTTTGACATATTCAGAAATTATTGTTAAAATGAGATTAAAACAAAACCTGAAAAAAAGATTTCCTAAAAAAAAATAGAAACCATAACTTTCAACTTCCAAAGCTGAAATGCTGCTTTCCTGAGTTTTGCAAAGTTCACGAGAAAAAAGCATTTTCCAAAAAGCAGTCAAGACTTTTCATTTCCCAGAGAAGTGTGTATATATATAGAAAAATAAATAAATAAAATTAAAAACCAAGATTTCATACTCCCAACTGACATGAAAAAACAGAGTTTTCTCAGTGTCATAAGATTTATATCAGGTCCTAAAATCAGCAAATAACAAGAAGTAGAGAACCAAGTAACATTCTAGTTGCTAGGAATCTCTCATTCCTTAGGTCCCAGGAAGATGTAGCTCCTTTTAATGTTGGGCAATATTTACAGACAAATAAAGGATCTGTTCATTTATTTTATACTTACCCCAGAATTGTAAGGGGGATCAATCAGACTGAGATTAGGGAGAGATGCCTGAAGTGCATTTACATATACTGGCTGAGAATGAACGGAGGGCATTATAGCTGAAAATTTAACAGAAACACACTGAAAAATACACTGATTTATTAACCATTTTAAAGCCTAATCCTTGAAGCATGAAAGTACTCTGACATGTAACTCAAAAGTTTATTTTTAGTAAAAAAAACACCTAATCCTTACTACAAGGACTATGCAGTTAACAAACAAACAAACAAACAAGACAAATAATTAAAAGTTTTTTGAGAAGTATTTTACCTTCTTGTTTGTACTTCTGAATCTTCCTAATCAGGTCCATTCTGTGAATGTTTTGAAAACAGTCTTCTAACAAATCCAGTTGATTAGAAGCCACTAAATTTAGTTTTTCTAGGTCAATCACAAGACCTATAAAACTCTAGAGCAACAAAAGGGAAAAAAAATACTACAAACTGTCCTACTAATAATTTGTTCTCTAGCAATAACTCTGGGAAAAGTAAGTCCACTAGGGAAACAAAGCAACCCAGGAAATAATTTGATGAGGTAGTAAGGATTGTATATTCAGGAATTATACATATAACCCTTTCTTAGTCATTAGCTCATACTCTGGAAAACAGCCCTCAGTATTATATCATAATTGTGACTGGAAATGAGGGGCAAATAATCTCAAAAAAAAAGTTTTTGAGGAAGCATTTTGTACAAAGCAAACCACTTGGAGCATCAGCTAAGATGCCAAAAATAATAGCTTTAAAAGGAGGAATTTTGCCTCTCTCTCTCCTCTGCCCAATGGACAAGTTTTCTGAATCCTCTCTACTGAACTGATTTTTTCTCGAGATTTAGAATGCAAGTAGTCTGAGAATGACTTAGTTAAAACTATATTTTTCTAAATGAAACAGAGCATAAACGAAAAGAAGTAAGTCAAGGTATATTTGAGGTCCTACATATGTGAACACGCACATCATAAATACTGAAGAAACACTTTATTTTATGCCTTCCACCTGTGACATTCGTGAGATTCATGGTAATACCATTCACTGTTGCAACACTTCCCTGCTCTGCCTTACTGTTTCTCTAGCTTCTTTTACTACTACTACTACTTAAAAAAAAAATCTAATCATATTCCTCTTTAATCTCTCATTGCTCTAGAGTAGAAGGCTAGGAGAGGGAAGTTACCTTATCTTTTCCCATTTTCATACGAGGTACATAATCTCTGAGTAGGAAAGCAAGTGAATCGACTTCTTCTTTTTCCAGATTCTCATTAATCTCTGCCATTAACACCCTGAAATAAAGTTGAAACATTTCTAAAATATGAGCTTCCAGCAAGATCCCATCTTTGCCCATCTCCCCATCTTCTCCCATGTTTGTCTCAATGCACCATTCCTAATTAAACAACAGGAACCAACTGTACTCTGTCCCACAATCCATCTACAAAACACCTACTCTTGGTCATCTGCTCCTGCATCTTTCTATAATAGCTATTTTTAAACAAGAGGGTTCAATGCTGAAAATTAAGATACATAATTTCTGTTCCTGTCTCTGCTTACATCTCAAGATAGAACTGTGGCCATCACAGTAACTACAGCCTAGTAAACAGATACTAATGTAAGGGAACTCATCAGCCAAGGTCAGCTCAGTCTGTATTCTATGCAGATGGCTGAGGCAACTCTTAGGAATACTGCAACTATGATTGTTGCATATCAAGAAAAAAAGAAAAAAAAGGCAGATTCATTTTCTAGATATATTTGAAAATAAATATGGATTTTGTATCTCATACAATGATTTCCTATTATTTTGAACTGTTTTGCATACCATCATTCAGTTCTAACACCCTTAATGCCAATTACTATACAACAGAATTGTAATCAGAGCAGCAACCAGAACACAATTTACCAAATGAAATCCGAATTATACAAATACCAATTTCATCTTCTTTCAGAAGACAGTGATATGCAGACTCTTTTCTGGCACACTAGGACATCATGAAATACATTTCCATAGAGTTACCTGGCCATATGACAGACCTTCACAAACACTTTAAAATATATAGGAAGGATTAAATGGTGAAAAGTATCGCCGAACAAAAGAGCAGATAATGTCAGATTGCCTATGTAACAGCCATTGCTGGTGAAACAGAGTTCTCCTTCACATTTCAACACAGATGAAGTAAAGATTTGTTCTGCTATTCTGTTTTCTCTCAACTTTTAAAAAATCTGATTCAGGATTTTCTTTCACAAGTCAACACAAGAAAATCCTCCTTATGGGTACATTTATTTCTTTCTGAAGTCTCTGAAAGAAAATCACTGGAGTTTCTTAAAAGTGAAGAGGCTCTTAAGACTGAAGACAAGAATGTGTTTAGAGACAGGCTACCTGAGAAACGCTGTATCACATTAAAAACCCTGAACAAACATTTTTAAAAAAAATCACTAATAACATTCTGCTAAATATCATTTCTACCTGCTCATCCAGAACTGAGCAAGCATAATTGTTGCCATCAATTAACAATCATCCTGATGCTTGTAATGCCATGACTAAGAGAACGTACCAAAGCTTGCTTTAGGAACTAAACTTTAAATACTCTTTTCATTACAACTTGTATATAATGATGCCCTTTTCTACCCTTCTTTCATCATGACCTGACAATTTCTACAAAAAAAAAAAAAAAAAAAGGTGTGGGGGGGAAGGGGCAAAAAAAGCAGCATTTTGAATACAAGAGTAGCCATGAAATCTGAAAAACATACATTACCTGTAATCGGAAATAAGTCTGGGACATCTGGCAAGGTTAGCTTCCACTGTTGCCTTCTCAGTCTTCAAGATCCTCCTCAGCATGTCAAACCTCTTAACTCTGTACAACAACTCAGACAAGCCATACAGAGACAGTTTCTCCCTCTCATTCAAAGTCACCAGCAGCTCTCTAAGGTCTGCAGTAGCTAAGTCAGGAGCAAGGTCCCGGCACAGGAAAATCATTAGCTCATCTTCTTCTTTATCCAATTCTTGTTCAATCTGGTGAATTAGGGCAGATGGCACTTGGCACTTTGTCATCACTTTGTTGTTGTCTCTTTAAAATTGATCTTCTTTTTTTTTTTTTTTTTTTTTAAACAGGAAGCCAACATGACCCAAAGCCCATTTCTACAGGAGTGCTTCTCCGGTGTTCAATCTTAACTAGATCTTCTAAAAAAGTAGCTCTGAAGGAGAGAATTGAAAGGTTCTAATCAGTGATCTACTGTTTAAGCTAAAACTTCTTTCTAGAAATATCCACTAACAACTAAAACGTCAGCTTAGACTATAAAGACCTACTGTTCTGTAAGGGGTTCTCCCAGCTGTTCATTACAGAACAAAAAGTAGTTGGTAGATCATAAGAACTTCAATTTTTGGGGGGTAGTAAGCAAAAATACCTTAGCATAAGTCTGTAAATTCCATAGGAAGTGAAACAACCAACCAAAAAAGTCATCAGCCTACTGATAAGCAGTCACATTTTAAGTTAAGTTATACAGCATTTTAAATCTCAATTTCCAACCTCTTTCCACCAACCCACCATCCCCTGTTCTGATCCAGAAGTTTCAAGGCATTTTTCAGGAAGTGTTTTTGAGTGCCATGATGTAGTGTAATGCCATGTTATAGACAGAAGTACTTAAAACACATATATAAATACTACCAGGTATTTGTGATGTGCTTTGCCCTAAATTAAATCAAAATAGAGGAAGTATTCACAACATAATATTTTTCAGCAATTATCTTGAATTCTAGAGTGCAAGATGGGATGTCTTATTTACTAAAATCTTCTCAAGTGATTAAACCATGCAAAACAATAACAACAAAAATTCCTATCTTCATTATGCTGTTTTATTATCTCTGAAGGCACAGACAGGCCAGTGGCTGCCTTTTTTTTTTTCCACTGTGACATTTTTAATATTGGGAAACATAAATAAACTGAAATAAAATTAAACACAAGGAAAAAAAAAGAATAACCCTTGGAATTGAATAAATAACTAGAGTATTAGCTTCAATTTCTGCTGCCACCACCAGAACTACTTATTTTTATTAACTCCCATCATGTAAGATAGATTACATGTCATGTAGAAAAACGCTGAACAGTACTTCCAGTACTGAATCTCTTACCTGTATGCAATTCTACCCCAAAGAACGCAGACAGACAGACATGTGATCATGGCTGTCTTACTGATTCACACATCCAGATCTAGCACATATTGCTTTTCATCCAGTATATTCCATAGATAGTCCATATACAGAATTAATGACCTCAGCTCATTTGCTGTTGGAAAAATATCAACATTATAAGCTGCGGGTTAATTGCTAAGATTAATGAGGGAAACAAAGGAAAAATTAGTTAGGATCACACATTCTTTTCCTTGATTTCACATGGTCCCCTGAGAAACAGGTATATCAGGAAAAAATACCTGAGCCGATATAGTCAGTAGCCAAGAGTGCACTCTTGCAGAGTTTGGAGAACGAGTAGCATGAAATAAGTATTCCAGTATCTGAAACCATGCTTGTGACTTTGAATCCAAAAATCATGCTGGCGTGATGGCAACATTTTGATAGCAAGAATGTTACATCATTTGGGCAAATGTGAGGCATTTCTTCTGCATGTGTCTGAGCCAGACCCACTTGACCATGAGAGGTAAAGGGCATCATGTTTCACCCATCTGGTATGACAGTTTTTGCAAACATCATTGGTAAAGTTATCATAGCTGCAAGATAGATAGCTGAAGAAGAAGAGAAAAGCCATAGCAGAATTCTTAACAAAGCAGTCTAGCCTTCAATTATGTAGATCACCTGGGCTCTGTAGCACAACTTTTGAATGTTAATTCTTTACAAAAAGAAATGAGAGAAAAACAGCATACCTTTCCAGGAGATAATAAAAAAGTTCATAGTGTGCACAGAAAGTTGCCTCTGTAATTTGTGTGTTCATGTGTGCATGTAATTTGCCATTATTGCTGCAAGAAAATACTTTTTAAGACTCTCCTCTTTTGTTCAGTTCAGTGCACTGACCAAAGACTTCAGCACAAATGTTACAGAGCAGAAAGATGGTTAATACGGACAGAGCTCCATGTCTTGGAAACAAAAACAAACAAACCCCACCTGTGCCTTGCTTAGGTACTGCACTTACTATAATTACATTCTCAATTTAAAAGAGATCTAAAATCACTGCAAATAGCAGAAGTCTTCTTAACACAACCACTGGCATTGATGTATTTGAGGGTACTGTGAGACTGTCTCAGCAATATTAGGGACAGTGAGTAAAGTGGGCAGGCCTACACACACAACAAAGAATCCCACTTTTCTTTCAGTAATCAAAGAATCAGGAAAGCCCCAGGTACAGCGAGGGAGGATGACTGCAGAGGAGACAGATTTCTGTAAGTCTGGCTATTTTAGTTCACAATCACCCCAAATTATCACAGGCTTTTGCAGAGGAAAAAAAAAAAAAAAAAAGTCATGAGGTCTCTGAAAAAAATGACTCATCAGTCATCCTGTGACCCCAAAAAGAGGACTGATAGAAAACTATGTCTCAAGGGGATTACTACCAAAGCACACTTAAATGCAAGTGTCTGCTTTTATTATATTTTCAGGCTTTCCTTAACAAAGTGGAAGTTTTTAAAGCTGATCGGACATTCCCATGATGAATTTCTCACCTACAGCTATGGGAAAGCACCCTTGTCAAAGGCAAACTTACTCTAAACTTGCATTGACTTTTGACTAGGAATATTGCACTATAAGTAAGAATTTAAGATAAACACTTGAGAAAAGTGTATTTACTTTTCAGACCATTCTAGTCATTTTCATTCCATACTAGGAAAGTAGCTAGGAAAACATCAGTATATTATTTGGCTTCTATGCAAATATTAAAATTAATTATAATTCTGTTTTATGTACAGTTCTACATTGCCTGTAGTCCATGCAGAACGCATTCAAAACCAAGGGCCAGTATTTTTTAAGGTGTGAGAAGTAACAATATACTAGAACTTCACAAAGATCTGCAAGACACCATTAACATACATAACCTGCTCTGTGCATGTATAAGGCTCAAGCAATTTTACTTTTTGCTGTTAAACTCCCTTCACAAAAATAAAAAAGGACCTACGCTTGCAAAAAAAAGAATAAAAATGCTGCACATTATTACCAGAATTAGCAAGGCAAAAAGCAGTGTCCTGCATCAATTGCAAAAAAATCTACCAGGCCTCACATTAAGAAGCAGAAATCTTTCAGGAGAAGCAGGGAAACCTTTCGCACTTCAATGATCATCTACAATTACAACCTTCAAGTTGAGACGGCATTTCTTTCTTGGGTGTTCTGTAAGCCTAGTAAGTGCCCCCGCAGCAGCAAAAATAGGATCTACCATTGGTGTTGCATTCCTGGTTGAAAAGCCCTCCGTTTCACAGCATGGGCTCAACAGAAGCGCCTCACCAGGCGAGGAGAGTAGGTTAGCTAGCTACAAGGCCCCTCCATGCCACTTTGATAGAGGCGGTCAGACCACACAGTGCTCATTTCATCACATATCATCTTTTTTAAGTGATGAATATTTCAGGGCATTTTCCACAAGTTTCAAATTTACCTGTAAAAACAGATTATCTGGTACGAGGCTCTTAGGGAAAGCCCGCACTAACTTCCAGCTTGCTCATCCTTGTATTAGGCCTAAATGCTTTGCTCTCGGTGTAAACCCGTAGAGACTACACTAGTTTCCCTTTAAAAGTGAGCTAATTCAACATTCCAGTCTTCCTAAACAAAAAAAAAATCCCAATAAACTAGCTTTACCCTGGGGAATTTCAAGGATTTCCGCCTCATTTTAACTACGTCACTTCAACCTGAAAAAAAAGCAGCAAGAAAACTCGGCTCTGCATGACGAAGGGCTGGGTTTCGTTTCTCCTCGCGAGCGCGGGCGGGCTCGGGCCTCGCTGGCGCCAGGCCGCCCACCCCGTCGCTGTCCCCAGCCCGGCTCGGAGCCCCTCGGGAGCGGGTCGCGGCGGGATCAGGGCCCCATCCTGGAGCGAGGCGTGCGGGGACGCTAACCTAAGGGCTCGGGGAGGGAGAAGAAGAAGAGAGGAGGAATAACGCACCCACACACGCCCAGGACGTCTCGTCCACCGCGCCGGGGCCAGGTCCGCAGCTGGGAGCGGTGCTGCGAGGGGAGGGAAGGGGCGGTGTCGAGACCGGCACCGGGCGTGGTTTTTAGGCACGGGGCAGACGCAACGGCCGGGGCGCTTTTTCTCTCTAACGCGAGCTCCGGGATGAGGCACCCGGAGAGCTTCCTGTGGCTCGGGACGCTACTGGGACTGAAGCCGCCTCCGCGCGCGGCCGGCAACGGCCGCCGCTCAGGTCGGAGAACTGCCCTCGCTGAGGGGCGAGGGGACTCGGTACAGCTGCCTCCCCCTCCTTACGCAACTGCAGTAGCCAGCCCTTTCCGCTACTGCCTGTGGCCATTAGGTGTTTTACGGACATCAGCCACTCTCTTTCCGTTGCGCAGGTGGGACTTTAACCCGCCTCAGTATAGGGAACGCTCACACCACCCCCTACCGCGCTGCCTCGACCGCAGTACACTCGCAAAATGGCAGCGAGGCGCCCGCTCAGCCGCGCGCGGCGCCACCTGCTGGCGAAGCTTGCGCACAAAATGGCGGCCGGCGCTGAGAGGAAGGAGGCGCGGGGGAAAGGGCGGGAAGAGTGGCCGTTAGGTCCGTGTGGGAGGGGGCTAAGATGGCGCCCGGCAGTGGATTGGGCGCGTTTCTCTGTGTGTTGGGAGGGACTTGTCGGAGTTTCTGACTACAGCCCAGGAAGGGAAGGATGAAAGTTGTTTCGGTAGATGTGTGTGCGGATAGACACGAGTGCGTGATCTATATATGTATAAGCTGCAGAGCTTTCAGGACGATTAGACTCAGGAGCCTTTCAGTGGTAGATCCTGCAGTCGTTTTCAGTAACGAAATGTAGACTCTGGTGAGCAAATATTCCGTATAGCAGGGCATTTCAGTGAGGGTGGTGTACAAAAAGAAATCTGTGTACAGGTCTTGGTGTATCTTTCTGAACTAATTTGCTGTACAGCTATGTGGCAATTTTGAGTTTTCGTTTCAATATTTCACTCCTCCAAAGTGGGTATTGCCAGGGAGGTGATCCTGCCCCTCTACTCAGCCCTGGTGAGGCCGCATCTGGAGTATTGTGTCCAGTTCTGGGCTCCACAGTACAAGAGGGATGTGGAGCTTCTGGAGAGAGTCCAGCACAGGGCCACAAGGATGATCAGGGGCCTGGAACATCTGCCCTGTGAGGAGAGGCTGAGGGAGCTGGGCCTGTTCAGCCTGGAGAAGAGAAGGCTGAGAGGGGATCTAATCAGTGTCTATAAGTACCTCAAGGGAGGGAGTGCAGAGGACGGTGATGGTCTCTTTTCAGGGGTGGCCACTGATAGGACTAGAGGAAATGGCCGGGAACTGAAACACCAAAAATTCCATAGGAACTTAAGGAAAAAGTTCTTAACAGTGAGGGTGCCAGAGCACTGGAACAGGCTGCCCAGAGAGGTTGGGGAGTCTCCTTCTCTGGAGATCTTCAAAACCCGCTTGGATGCAGTCCTGTGCCACGTGCTCTAGGTGTCCCTGCGTATGCAGGGGGGTTGGTCTAGATGATCTCTAGAGGTCCCTTCCAACCCTAAGCATTCTATGATTCTATGAAATGGCAAGTCCCGTCAAGCTACTTACTCTCAGGCATTAGTGTCACAGCTGGAACTGCTCTCTCTAAATATAAAATTCTGGACTATTTTGTTGGCAAAACAAGACAGAAACCTCATCCTTATGTGGTGAATTTGGACACAGTATATTTAAAAAAATCTTCAAGTCCAAAGGTCTTAGAAGTACTTACAACACAACAAAACATTCTATGCCCTGCAAAAAATGGAGCAGTTGAAGCTGAGTTTTCTCTGGAATAACATTAGTTAAAAAAGTGAAATGTTCCCCTTGTAAGAGCAAGGAAAACTTGCTACTCAAAGTAGAAGCTGGTCAGATTTTACATAAAGTATTCTAGTAAGATTAGATGTGATTGAGAAGAGATAGTCCTATTTATTTTGATTTAGAGAGATTTGGGGGTTTTGCCTTGGATATATTTCTGTCAATCTAATAACAGCATTGTTCTGATTTGTTTTCTAGATTCTCCTAGCTAAGTAAAACAAGAGAAAATTATGTAAGAAGTTATTCCTCCTAAAATTATATATAAGTTGGATTTTGTTTGGTGTGAGTGCAGTATATCTATTCATGTGTCATGTTGATAATATTCTTTCATATATATATATTTTTAAACAAACACTGTAAGGAAGGAGTTTTTCTTTCTTCTTCTTTCCTTTTTTCTTCCCTCAAAGCATTTCTTTGCCATAAGAACAACAATAAAAATATTATCTGAAAATTATTTTCTGTTGATTGGCCTATTAAGGGTAGAAAACTTAGAAATATAGAGAAAACTATTCTGGAGTATGAAGTAATTCAGAGGTTTATGCTGAATAATGTGAAATTTTACAATCGGCATCAGCAAAAATAACAAACCATGAATGAGATGAGCAGAAATAGCTCCCTGACTACTGATAGAATTTCCATCTGTGCCTCACAAAGCTGACAAAGCTGTAACCATCACCAGTTCTCTTTTTCAAAACTTAGGAACAGAATAAGCTTTCTTATACCTCATTATCATCATGTTTTTTTTTTTTTTTTTCACCTGCAGGTGGCCCTGCTGTTTGTGACCCTTTTCTTTACTCTGTAAAATCATCTCAGGTGTGCTGGTAGGAGGGCTGCTTTAATTTTAGGACATCGTTGCTATGATTACTGTTAAGACAGGTCTGGTACTTATTATCACATAGGAAATATTCTATTTCCAGGAAGAATTATTGTACTAAATGTGAAATAAAAACCTTAGAGTATTGCATGCATAAGTAGTGCTACACGCTACATCTGTTTTAGAAAATACAGGAAAAGACATTTTTATACTCCAGAATATTGGTATGGTAAATTCATGATAAATGTAGGCAGCCATTGGTGGCAGTGTCTGGAATACTTTCTGGCTATTAAATCACTGAATTGCACCTTCTTAATCTATAAATTAGTTTCACTTAAATTAGTATAATTTTAATTAACAGCTAAAGATGTAGATTGGGCATAGTTTTTAATTTAGATTGCTTGTAAGGCTGATTCTTAAGATTTTTCTTAACTTAAACATGAATTTATGGAACAACTATATTAAATTGGGATGACTTGCTTTTAAGCTTTCTGGAAACTTTAGCTGAAGTTAATGAAGACAAATAAGATTCCAGCTTACTAATTCTTAACTTTCTCCATGTACCACAATTCACAACAAGCCAAAATCTGGATTAAAAAAAAAAAACACCCACACATTTAAGTTTTCAAAAACCTCTAAAGAGAATACATGTAGAAGAACATGTAAACAGTTTCCAACAGAAAACCAAATGAAATGGCCACTATTGAATAACCTTTTATTAAGGCCTATGCTTCTGGAAAAGCAAGGAACTACAGAGTTAGAGGGCAGAGAACAAATCAGTCGGTCTGCATATAGATCAGTTGTGGATACCAAACTGTAACTACAAAAGAGCAAAAGTGAGCAGCACATACTTGAAGTGCAAGATTCATCAACCCATGTGTAATGTTAATCGTGTGCTTCTGAACAGCCATCTAAAATTCAGCTTTCTGGAGCAGTTTAATATTAGATCCAGTTAGAACAAGCAGTAATACCAGCCTTTGCAAATGTGTATTCTGGGTAGGACTGCCTAAGGGACAGTGTGAAAATGTTTGGTTGCAACAGAGTTCACACCATATGTTCTTGATTTGTTTTTCATGAAATGATGCAATAGCATAGGGATACTTGAGAAATAATTAAGCAAGAAAACAAATTCAGTAAAGCAGCTATTTGACCAGTGAACAAGGCCTTAGGCAATGTCATGCAGAGATGTAAAATTGGGTAGAATTGCAGCTATTCTGTTTGACAGTGTTATGTACTAGCTCAAAAACTAAAACTCTGGTATAGCCTCACTGAAATAGTGATGTGATTATATATATATATATATGTGTGTGTGTGTATATATATATATATATATATATATAGGCATTTTACCCATTACTTGTTAAGAGCTTAAAGTTTTTTGAGGGGTGGGTAAACCTGCAATTATTGCCTTCAGGATACTCTATAGTTCTTTCAAGCTGAAAATACACTACATAACTGTCCAATGGTATTTGAAGTTTTCTTTTGGTCAGATTTTGCTTTTTAGGTCACGCAAATATCCCGTTGTCTGGATTAAAGACTGAGATATAGTAGCCTCCTTATGTTAGTAATGGCGTAAAGATTTAGAATATGATGTTCAGCTACTTCTGCTTCATGGCGTGCTTCAGGCATGCTAGAAGCAGATAATTTAAGGAAATATATGAAATTCAAAGCCCAAATTATAAAGATATTAGCTATGAAAATACTATATACTATTACAAATTCAGTTGAGTTCTACACTAGGCAAAGAAAAATGCTTTTTTTTTCCACTTTTTGTTAAGAATTGGAAATTGTATTAACATGAGGTACAGTTATTGTTTAGTGAAGCATGCTACTTTGTTTAGTAAATGTGACAACAATGAGAAGTTTAATTTCTGGATAATACACTGACAGCAGATTTTGTTGCATGGAGTCTATCAAATTAGTAGACACTGTAATAGGGTTAATTATCAACTTTAGTATTTTCATATACTTTAAGGCATTTTTAAAGCTTTATTATAATGTATATGTTTATTTACTCTTACCCACTCTTGCATGTCTCTAGAAGTTAAGACCTTAAGAAATGCCAAACAGTTAATTGCCACTTACCAACAAGTAACTGTCATTAAAACCATAACTAATGCAATATTGAAAAAAAGTGAAAATCTGATGCAACATATTGCTGTGCTTGAAAGAGCACTGCTGGGACTTTCCTGTAGTATGAAGAGCAAACATACGTGTCTGATAGCATACAATTTTTCTTCCTTCTAGTCTGAAGTTAGGTTTGAATTTAGGAATTACTCTTGGTAAGATTTTTAATTCTTGCACAAACATAATGAAGTCGAAGAAACATGCTTTTGTCTGTGTTAGATTTTAATATGTATTTTACAGATACAGAATGAGCAGCAGATTATTGTACACTTTCATTTAGAAACAATAAATTCTCATACTTGGTATTCAGTGATGACCTCCATTCTTCTTTGGAGGAAACATTGCATATTCAATGCCAAGAGCTATGACGAAAGCTGCAAATCCCCACTTGAATCCCTTAGTAAGGACTTCTGTTAAGGTGACAGGCTTTGCAAAGCCACCCATAAATCTCCAGGCTTCATTACTAGGAGAAAGACAACCAAAGAATAAAACAAGATCAGTGCAACCACTGTGATTAAATATGGAGGGGAAGGAAGATGCTTGAGAGATTTCCAGCAAATCTACTTTTGAGTGTGTAACATTTCTCTAGTTCAAGCATTAAAGGAACAGGAGTTACCACAGGTGAATGATCTGACCTCTAACCCTTTAGGTGCCTTTCACATTAACTACATGTAACACTTACAGCATCTTCCCCCCCAAGTGTGTTATGTAGCTGTTATGTTTCTGTAACTCAAGATGAAGTCATATTAGCACAGAAGAGCATCTTGTCGTTGCTAGTGAAGGATATTTGTTGGTAAGTCTTAGGTTTTCAAATACATCATCTTTCACACAGATTATTCTGTATGGAATACGTGCATTGCTACAAAAGTAATGTTGATACCTTGTTAGAAGGAACTTAATATTTACTAGAGGAGGTTGCCCTAATGAGGATTACTATTTCAGGATTTTTAGTGTGAAACGTTTAAATTTTTTTTTTTCCTCATATTATTGAAACAAATAACTTGATACTTGAATTTTTCCTTTATGAAGGAATATAGTTTTTTATAGCTTTATATATGCTTTATAAAGGATAATAGCTTATCTTTCTCTGCAACTGAAATATTACTTTACATAAAATTTGCATTAGGCAGGATTCCTTAGGAGGAATTATCTCATGCTTTGCACTTTATTCCCTATTTCCACTTCTCATGAGCTTTGGCTCAATTCCTTTCCTTCTCAATTTTTCATCTAGGAGGGGGAACAAGCAGTACATAAACCCTTTTCCAGTTCGCTATTTTGCAGCACTTTCTGAACATTGTACTTGGAAATGTATGCACTAAAACTTGTATACTAATTTACACTTAACTTATGATATTGAACTGTGTCCATTTTTTTTCTGGAATAAGCCTAATGTTTGCTGAAGACAATTTTATTTAAAGCATGGAGGAAAAACATAAAAACACAACAAACAAACAATCTAAGGCTGCTTGCGTTCTACAAACTGAGGCAACACACCTGAAAGGTGCCAGGAAAATTTGGTGGTAGCTGATAAGCCTAAGGACTTGTACCTCCAATTACTCTTAGCATCATTAGAACTGTATGTTTTACTCTGCAGTCTTAAACTCTTTCAAAGGAAGGAAGAAAAAAAAAAAAGGCTTTCAATTCCAAACCCCTCCAGGGGTTATAGCATCTAACATAGCAACAACTTCTTAAACAGATTACATTTTTCTATTCTTGTAGTGATTTGATACAAGAGCAAACAGGTGAAGCTGTTACTTTTGTGAAAGCTCCTGGAATAGCTGCTGGTGCAGCTTTTGTCTTGCAGAAGGACTATACAATACAGCACAAGGCATTTAATGTTCTTAGTGTCCAAGGTTAAAGAGTACTTGAGCAAGATTCATACTGGCAGTAAGTATGTTAAGCTCTGTTTTAACAGCTGCCTAAATAGTCTACAGAAACTCGTGGGAAAAAGGAGGTATTTCGTGTAGATCAGGACAACTTACAGGTAAAAACCCTAATCTTCTGTGCCTTAGTTCACCCTGTTTGTACTGCTTAGCAAAAAGAAATGCCAAGTTAAATTATGCATTATAAACTAGCACATTTCTTCATTTCAATGAAGGCCTCCACTGTATGTGAATGCTCCTATGTCTACTCAGAACATAAATATAAAGTTCCACTGACTTCAGCAAGATCTGAGCACACAGTCTCTTTGCTGAAAATAGACTGGGTTACTCATGTACAAGACCTGATGTTACTGTAGTGTTTTGGGTGGCCACTGTGCCTGATCGGGATCCACCAGAGCATCACAAAGTTCAGGGGTGCTTTGTAAAATGAGGAAGCTGGCCAAAGTAATGCAGTGGTAGTAACCTTCGCACACACAAAAAAAGTAAACAAAAACTTAACTAATTTATTCTAGATGCATTTTCCCTTTTTCCCTTTAAAAAAAAAATAAATAAAGAAAGAAAATGTCCTCTGCAGCGACAAGTTTAGGCTGATGCTACTGTCAGGATTGTTTCTAAGGCTCATGCACCTACCGAGCCCATGGATCCCTCAGACCCCGTCTAGCCAGCCTCTCCTGGACTTGTTCGAGCGGCGTTCCCTCTACCTTCCAAATCCTATAGTCAGGGAGCTCCATTTTGCTGGGGCCGTGGCCATGTTCATTTCCATGCCCCATACCTACAAGAAAAGAGAGAGCATTTTTATTTCTTAGACCGTATCAGTTTATTCTCACACATTTACAAAGACCAATATCTTATTTAGGAAGAAGCGGGAGGTTAGAGGCAATATTCTAAAACAGTAACACTGCCATGTGAAGCATCTTCTGCAATATGAACTGTGTACCTTAGAGCAGAAAATAAAAAAATAGGACACTTGATGCTACATTTCAGAAGTTGGTGATTAAGCACAAGACAAACTGTGCTAGACTCTATGAATTATTTCATCTAAACAACAGTTAGCTGATTCTTTTGAATTCCTACATGTTTGGTTTAATAGCAGCAACAACAATTTGTCCTAAGCTGACTGCCTCAATAGACAATTACTGCAAAAAGATTAACAGCATTATGTCATTTAAAGAACAGTGGGTGGGTTTTTTTGGCTAATAAAAACAATCACTTTATACTTTAAAATACACAGCTGAATATAATACAGACATTGCTCAGGAACATGAACAATACACGTACAATTTCAACAAAAGCAAACATCTCAGGACACTATGATAATAGCTTGGTATTATAGTGTCTTTTAATGCTTCTCACAGATGACTGATTTTGAAGACATACTAGATTGTATAAGCCTTTCTGATGTATGGCTTAAAGAATCCATAGTGGATTTTTTTATTTTTTAATGTCAGTTAAGTACAGCACTACCATTTTTTTTCCTGTGTCTAGGTCAGTAAAAATATTTTCTAGCCTGTGACTAGAAAAATATCAAACTGATTTCATAACTACAGTTCACTACTTAGAATACAAAATCCACATGTTCTAAAGCTAATGTTCTAGCTTCACAATTAAGGACTATTGTACTACAATTTATCACAACTTATTTATATAACTGGAATTACTCAATAAATTTTAATTGAATGTATGCTAGCTGGTCATGGTTAAATTTCAAATTAAAAAAAATATTATGACAAATACTAAAATCAGGTAAAACTAGGTAAGACTACTAGCCTTTCAAACCAAATGTATTAAACACTGAGAAGATTTTCACACGAAGATAGCAAACAGCTGCTTAATATTCTTGCCACAATTTCTTTAGTGATAAAAACTTGATCAGATCTACCTAAAAAATACAAATGCAGGCATTTCTAATTTAAAGGTAACACTTAAAAAAATGTGGTGCAGATCTTAAGCATACTAGTTAAAATGGCTCAGTGTTCATTTTGGTAAGTCTGGGAGCTGTCTAGACTTATTTTAATTTTTGCCTAGCAGAAGTAGGGATGACCAAAGTGAGCGACACAAAAACTATTTAACTTCTCTCAGAGATCCTGACTGTCCATTGTTGAGATACACACAAAATCACAGACTTAGGATGCTGAAGCTTACTACCAAATAATAATAAATACTGTGATTAACACAAATCAGTATTTATTGTTACTGCAGCAGTACCTGTTTTGTGACACAATACAGTGATTCTTCAGCGCTACTGGAGTCTATCACAGTCTATAATAATAAAAAAAAAGTTAACTGGTGAGATCAGCTAAAACCTTGGAATAAAAAAAAAGTTAGCATTACTATGTGACTTAGAACAACTGGACAATACTATAGCCACTGAGTATTTTTTTTACTGAAGTCTGTTGACCTTTACAGTGTCATACATACTTCCTTCTTTCTAAAATTCGATTTTCAAGGAGGAGAAAAACTGTTAGTTAATGACTGTGAAAGAGAAGGCATTTAATTTAAAAGTTTTACCTGCATATGGATTGGTTCTCGTGCATGAGAAACATCAGCTACATTTGTCTTGTGTTATGAGAAACATAAAAATGTGCAAAATACCTTTCTTTGCCAGTAATCTCAGAGAAATAATGAATTGTTCATAGGTAGACGTTAATGATGTCATACTAAAAGTATTTCCAAACCCTGATTCAAATGACAGCTTAATTGACTTTTCAGGATATAAGTAATCTATTTGATAATCTAAACAGACACATTTTAGATCCAAGTGTTGTTGCCTTGTAGTCACCATTAACATTCATGAAGCAGCTGTGTAAGTTTTCTTACTAACATTAGGAGATTTTTTTTCCAATATCTATAAACGCACTTCAGCAGCGCCAGGGCCCATAATTTTCAAGCTCTCCAGAGCACATCAAGAGCTCTGAGACCAGTTTGAAAAACCTCCAATTTAGATAAATTACCTTTTAAAATGATGCTTATTAGAAGATACTTATGATTAATAAAACCTGTAAGGTTTGATTAACTAAACGTTTTTTTTTCATTAGAGACACTAATTTCCCCAGAGCCATAGCTATGTGACCACCTAATTCACTGAAAGGAGCACGATGAGCAAGCTGCGAGGACAAGCGAGTGTTTATTAGCGGCGGCTCCTCAGCTCCTTGCGGGTCGCAGCCGCCCAAGCCAGACGCAGCCGTGGCGATTAATGCGCGGGGCAAG